CCTCCATCCCGGGCGCCCGAGGCCCCGATTCACTAACGCGCCTTCCGCAGGGCCCGGCGCCGGCGCCCAGCCCGCCCCCGCCCCCCGGGGGACGCTGCGTGCTTTACGTAACGCCCCCTGCGCAGCCGGCGGTGACCATGGCGACGGGGCCGGCCTGCAGCGCCCCCTGGCGCCGGGGAGGGGAGCGGGAGGGAGAGCGCACAGGGGAGGGGTGAGGAGGGGAGGGGAGAAGGAAAAGAGGACAGGAGAGGGGAGGGGAGGAAAGGAGGGGAGGGGAGGATAGAAGGAAAAGAGGACAAGAGAGGGGAGGGGAGGAAGGAGGAGGGCAAAAAGGAGGGGAGGGGAGGGGAGTGCAGGGGCCAGAAAGAGAGAAGATAGGGATGGGGGGAGGGGTGGGGAAGAGGCATTTAGTGAGCGCCCAGGATGTGCCAGGCACAGTGCTTTACAAATAGCCTATGTGAGCCTTTCATCAACCCTGGAAGGAAACTTAGTTAAGGAAGTTTGAAGTCAGGTCTTGCTGACTCCAGGGCCAATATTCTGTCCACTGCACCTCCTAGCAGGAGAGAGAGGAGGGAGAGAGGGGAGGGGAGCGGAGGAGGATAGAGAGAGAAGCGGGGTGGGATCCCGGAGAAGTGAGAGGATGAGGATGACTAAGGAGAGGGGCCGCCAGAGCGCGGGGCGTGGAGTTCAATCCAGCCTCAGACTCTGACTAGCCGTGGGACCCTGGGTAAGTCACTTAGCCTTGTTTGCCTCAGTTTCCTCATCTGTAAAATGAGGCATTCGTACTGGCGCCTGAAGGCCCTTGGCTGCTCTAGCCGCATGATCTCTGCCACATGTTTGTGCACCTGTTTGAGCTCCTGGAAGGTGAGTCAACCGGGCGGGCAGCTTCTGAGGTCCCTTCCAGCTCGGACCCCCAGCTGCCACTGGCTGCCTTTCCAGACACCCCTCTCCCCAGGGCCCATGGCAATTCTCTTTCAGTTCTTCTCCCGAGTTTCCCACATTCTCTCTCTCCCCTCCCCTCCCCCTCTCCCCCCCTCCCCTCCCCTCCCCTCTCTCCCTCCCCTCCCCTCCCCTCTCTCCCTTCCCTCTCTTCTCCTCCCCTCTCACTTGCCCAGAAGGTACATTGAAGGAGGGATTTCCTCATCTGGGAATGCGCTATGACATCCCAAGTCCACCCTCTCCCCAACCCATGACTATCCTGTCACCCGTGTGACTTTAGACAAATCACTGAACATCTCCAGACCCCGTTTTCTCGGCTGTAAAACCCGGAGATTGGACCAGGCCTCTTCCAATTCTAAATCTCACAAAACCATGGCTACCGGATTCCAAGCCAGCCATCTCTCTGGTGGGAGCCAGAAAGCCCTGGCTTGGGGCAGGCCACAGCATCCCCCAACTCCCTGGCAGCAGTGAGAGCCCGGGGAGGAGAGTGAGGAGGCTGCTGAGAGAGCTGCCCCAAAAGGGCGTGGGCTGCAGAGGGAGGAGGTGCTCAGCGGGAGGGGCTGATGAGCCATTTCTTGGGATGGCAAAGAAGGGGCCAGGCGAGGCTGGGGTGAGGGGTTCCCTTCCTGCTCAGAGGCCGCAATTCTGTGCTGGGCCCAACGGCCCCCGGACCTTCTAGGAGTCTCATGCTTAAAAGGGAAGAGAAAAAAAGGAAGTGGGATGATTTGTCAGTCATTTCTTGGGGAGAAATGAGAAGTGGGATGATTTCTTCACAGACTGTGACCTGTCAGGTAGAGGAAGAAGAAGGTTTCAGGTCACCCTGAAGAACTATGGTTTGGTGATTCCCTCCCTGTCCCCAGCACCTCTCCCTTACTGTCTCAGATTGAAGTTCTCTTGGTGGAAGGAACTTTCACATGTCTTGATCCCTGTTGCCATGCCAAAAGGTTGATTGGACCAGGGAGAGGGAAACGGCTACCCCTGTCTTACAGACCCCTGTAGAGTGCGGATTAAAGGCTCAGAAGAACTAGGAGGGGAGGAAAAGGCCGCTGTCCTGCTCAACAGCCTTCAGGTGGTGTATTTAATTATTCCACCAAGGCAGGTCAAGTGACTCACCCAGAATCACACAGCCAGCCAGTGTCAGAGACAGCCCTTGAACCCAGTCCTTCCTGGCTTGAAGACCCACTCTCTAACCACTTGACCGCACTGCCTATAGGCCAGGATTACAGACTCCCTAGCCTCATAATCCCTTCCTCTCCAAAGTCGCCAGTGATCTCTCAACTGCCAACCTTGATGGTCTTTTCTCAGATTTCATCCTTCTTTCCCTCTCTGCTGCCCGTGACGCTGCTGATGGCCCCCTTCCTGGATTCTCGACACAACATTTAACAGGGAATTTATCTTCTTTGATAAAGTGTTTCTAGACAAGAGATGCTTGTAGGCTTGCTTCACTTTGCATTTGGGGAATTTAGTGGAAAAAAGAAAAGGATTTCAATAAAAGATAAAATCAGCATCAGGATTTTTGCAGAGTTGATTTGTAAAGAGGAGGTGGGCTTCCCCAAAGAAGGATGTTCCACAAGATGGCGAAAGGAAAGCAATTCTTAACTCAATAAAAAAATATACCTATGTGGAGAAAGGCAGCAACTCTATTGATTTACCAAAGAATTGGAATAAAGTAGATACATAATTTTACTTGTTAACATCTCTCTCTGTTTAGTTGGAAAGGAAGCCAAGCGACCTTTGGACTTCCAATGCCACAGAAAGCCTTTATCTATAGGAGGATTGGGGCTTTGTTTTCTGAGCAGAGAATGGTTTCCCTTACGGGAGAAAACAACTGAGAAATTAATATGGGAAAGAAAAAGATGTGAAATACTTGTTCATTTGCCCAAATGTTTCTACGGTTAGGTTAATTGGAGAAAACAATGCAAAGAAATAAATGTCAGCCAAAGCATGGGTTTTTCACGGCTGCTCTTAAAGAAAAGGGGATGGTTTGAATGGGAGTTCAAGGAGTTTGCTTTTCCTTTATCTATAGCTGTTCGGAAAACTTCTTTGATGGAAAAGTGACCCGTGGAGTCCTCCGCTGGGGTGTTTGTTCAGTTATGTGTAATGGTTGCTGTTCAACATTCTGGTCCCTACAAATCAGTAGTATGGGACTAGGGTGGGCATAGGTCTGGAGCAGGAGAAGAGGGAGTTGTTGGGAGTGCAGGTAGGAAAATCAAACAAAATGGGAGCAGAGAAAACAAATGTGGGAAAGACTAGAGGGAAATTTTCTTTGCTTTTGATCATTTTAAATTTGATATTTTGTTCTGAAGTTAAGCACCCAGAAAAGCAACATTCTTATAAACAGAACAAAAATAGGATTGTATATGAAACTGTGAGTCTCTCTTTCATATTACCTGCTTTTTTCTCGGTGGTGTGAGTCATTTCAGTCATGTCTATCTCTTTGTGGCCCCATTTGGGGTTTTCTTGGCAGAGATAATGGACTTGGCAGAGATACTTCTCCAGCTCATTTTACAGATAAGGAAACTGAGGCAAAGAAGGTGAAGTGACTAGTCCGGCGTTACATAGCTAGCAAGTGTCTCAGGAAGGATTTGAACTCAGGTCTTCCTGACCCCGGGCCTGACTCTCTATCCACTGTACCACCTAGCTGCCCAGTATGCAACACTGTATACATTACTTTGGAAACTGTCCTGCTTGTCTTCTGTTCCTTTCTAAGCATGTTTCAATGGTTTTCTCTCTCTCTCTCTCTTTTAAAGTACTGCTCTAACTCCCCCTCTGCCTCCCAGATCCCTCCAATTAAAAACCAAAAGGGAGAAGAAAGGAAAAAAACAAAACAAAGCCTCGTAAGCACGCTAGTAAAGCAAGCCAAATCCCCACAGGGGCCGTGTCCACAAATATATGTTGTTTTCTGTACCTCGTCTCTATTCCCTCTTCCAGGAACTGGGTTAAATTTATGCCGGGTCCTCTGGAGGCATGGAGGGCTGTTGTGTGGATCAGCATTCAAAGCTGGTTTTCTTTACAGTGCTGTTGTTTTGGGGTAAATTGGTCCCCTGGTTCTTCTGGCTTCACTGTGCATCAGTTCAGACTACCCAGGGTCCTCTACACTCATCCCTCATCATTTCTTCCAGTACAACCTGTTCCATTATATTCCCATGCCACCACTTAATCAGCTCTTCTCTGGTTGCTGAGTACCCCTTAGATTCTGGTTCTTTGCTTTCCTTTTTTTCCCCTTTTAATACCTACTTCAGTATCGAGTAGTTTGTTTGACTTGCAGCTATCACATCTCCTTATTTTCCTCCCTTTTAATCTCCCTTCATGTTGAATTTGATGTATTTCTACACAAAACAGTTTGTGTGTATTCCTGTTCAACCCTCTGTTGACTGTTTCAGATAACAATGAGGTTCATTTGCCCTCCCACCCCTTTCTTCATGTTTATACACTCTGCTTCTCACACACCCTATATATGAGAAGTTACTAGTGCTACCCCCTTCTTCCTCTTTCCTATACTAGCATACTCTTCCTTGTATCCCCCCTTTTCTTTCCCCTCTTAAAACTCTCAGAACAGAACCAATCCACCCTCAGGACTTTGAAGACATTTAGATCCTCAAGACACACTAATTTTTTCTCTCCCTCATAGAATGCTATCATTACATCATCATACAGCTCCTTCTAATTATTCAAATTAATTGACCTTCCAATGTTTCTCTTGACTCTTGTGTTAGCCTATCAAAATTCCTAGTCAGCTCTGTTCTTTTCATGAGAAATTCCTGAAAGGTCTCTGTTCCATTAATGGTTCATTTTTCCCTGTAGTATTATACTCAGCTTCCCAGGGTACATTGTTCTTGGTTGGAAACCTGTATCTTTTGCCTTTTGGAATATTGTATTCCAAGATCTCCTCTCATTTGAAGTAAAAAAAAAAAATGCCTAGTCTTGTGTGATCCTGGCTTTGGTTCCATGGTACTTGAACTCCTTTCTGAATGCTTGCAGTATTTTGGAGGAGCTCTGGATTTTGGCTATTGTGACAGGTGTATTCTATCTTCACTTTGCCCTCTGGTTCTAATAGATCTGAACAGTTTTCATTTATGATTTCTTGGAATATAGTGGTCAGGCTTTGAAAAAAAAATCATTGGCTTTGAGGGAATACAGTGATTCTTAAATTATCTTTCCTTGATCTATTTCCTGGTCAGTTATTTTTTATATCAGATAATCTAGCTCACATTTTCTTCCTTTTTTTTCAATCTTTTGATTTTGTTCTAATATGTCTTGAGGTCTCATTGAGGAGTCACTGATTTCTTGTTAATTTATTTAGTTTACCTAGGTCTCTTCCTTGGGTAATCCTTGCCAATTTCTCTTCTAAACTATTTATTGTCCTTCTAATTCTTTCCTCCAGAGCTTTTATGTTTTCTATTTCTTGATTCATTTCTCCTACATTTTCATGTAGTCCCTGTGAAAGATCCAGGGCTGCCCCTGGGTTCCTGTGTTGACCTCCACTTCCAGAGAGGCTAGGCTCCCCAGATCTTTGAGGTAAAGAGTACTGAATCTTTAAGACCTTCTCTGGCGTCTCAGGACAGAGTGCTAGGAACTTGGGAGCCCCTTGGCCTGGGCTGGAGTGATCTAAGAACTTTGATGCTATCCTGAGCGCTGCCAACCAGAGTGCCTTCTTCCAAGGCCCACAGTCTGGGGCTTTCTGACTTCCCTGGGTCTTTCTCAAAGTTGAGGGTGGGAGATGGAGGCCCCTGCCCTTGCTGTTTATGGATGCAGAGGCTTGCAGGCTGTGTCTTTGGTAGTGCTAGGAGGCTACTTGGGATTCAGGAAGAAGTCACTAGTGTTTCTTATTCTCTTTCTTGATTATCATTCCATCTGGGTGCATTTTAGGTTTTTGTCAAAGTATCTACTTCAGTGTGTGGGAGACAGGTGGACTGCATTCATTCAGAGAGCCATCCTGGCCATCTTTATTTGTTTTTATCATTCAAAGACACCTTTCGGTCCAGTCTTTTAACCCAGGATGTATTCTTTTTAACTTTTCTTTCCAGGGTTTTAACTGTAAAGCCATCAAGAGCAATTTTCAAAGGGTTTGTTTGGTGCTGGGACAGATATTTCCAATACTGAGACTCTCACATTTTCTGAGATGGGTCAGTAGGCAAATACAAGGTGATGGGGGAAAATCTACTGCATCTGTCTCCTCTCCCCCTTGGGATCTCAGGGGTATGAAAGTTCCGGCAAAACACTCTGACATCTGCACGCAGGGCTGTTGGTCCTGGGCTGAGAGCAGAAGCCGTCACCGGTCCCCAAACACTATCTCATGCTGGTTACACTGTCAGCCAGGCGGAGGAAACTGCCATTTCATTGTAAAGAATCAACCCCTCCTCCCCCAGCCAGAGCGATGGAGGAGACAATCAGAGCTAAACCTCAAGTCCAGTCCTACCTGGGCTTTTCTTTGCTGTCTCCAATCTAGCAAACATTAAGTACTTACTATGTGGGGCACACCATGCTAGGCACTGGGAATGCAGAGACAAAAGCAAATAATGCCTGGCCTCAAATAACTGAAAGACAGTGTGGTGTAGTGGATGGAGAACTGGACTTAGTGTCAGTAAGACCTAGGGTAAAGCCAATCTCAGATATTTATTTGCTGTGTGACCTCAGGCAAGTCCCTTAACCTCTCTGGGCCTCAGTTTCCTCATCTGC